ATTCCTCAACATTTATGGGTTGTTGATTTCCATTTCATTTCCTTTGTGTTTTTTTCATCTTAGTACTGTTCCTAATCGGGATTAGCTTTTTAGATTGATTTGAGATAATGAGATGATAATTTTGTAAAACAAAAAAAAAAAGAAGTAAGATATGAATTAACCAGAAAGGATGATTATTGGGTGAATAACTGAATATTAATTACGGAATGAGTTGCTTTTCAGGCGACAGTGCCCAAGAAAGACTTGCAGGAAGTGAACCACAAAGTTTGTTTTGATGTTGAAATTGCCGGAAAACCTGCTGGTATGCTCTTTTTCTATACTATTTTTGTTTTTTTTGGTGCAAAGTTTTCTTCTATACTATAATATAACACTTTTATTTTATATATGATACACGGGCTCGACCCGCGACCAGAAATATCCCAGCTTTTAATGTATTCTTTCTTTTTTTTTTGGGTACGAGGCTTTTAATGTATTCTTACAGTCCTTAATTATATCTCCTTTCTCTCACTCAATGACCAGAAACTCCGCCGACGATCCGCGCTCCAAGTTCCTCTCTTTGCTCCCCCATGGGGACGACCCTCAAGAGCTCGCAGACTCAGGCGTCCAGTCACAGCGTCCTCATTGTCGGTAATTACTGCCACGATGTTCTTCTTCGGAACGGCACCATCATTGCCGAGACTATTGGGGGCGCCGTCTCTTTTATTTCCAACGTCTTTGACGCCCTATCTGTTTCGTGTCATTTGACATCGAAAGTAGGGCAAGATTTTAAATACTCAGTTCGTTATGAACCGATTGTTGTGTCCTCTGCGAGGACTACTGTTTTCCATGCAGAATTTGGTGTAGGTTTGCGCGGGAATGGGCACCAAGATCGGGTCTTGAAACGGGTTGAGGCCTGCGAACCAATTCATGCGGCAGATCTTCCCGATATGCGGTTTGATTTTGGGATGGCGGTTGGGGTTGGCGGTGAGATACTTCCCGAGACGCTTCAGAGAATGGTTGAGATTTGTGATGTTGTGTTGGTGGATATTCAGGCACTGATTCGGGTTTTTGATGGGAATGATGGGACCATGAAGCTTGTGGGGTTAAAGGAGAGTGGATTTTATCATCTGCTACCGAGAATTGGGTTTTTGAAGGCTTCGGGGGAGGAGGCCTTGTTTATGGATGTTGAGGAGGTGAGGAAGTGGTGCTGTGTGGTGGTAACACATGGTAAAGATGGGTGCAAGTTGTATTGGAAGGATGGAGAGATGAAAATAAGGCCATTTTCAGCGAATCAGATTGATCCAACAGGTGCTGGGGATAGCCATTTAGGTGGTTTTGTTGCTGGGTTGGTTCATAGGTTGGCTGTGCCCGATGCTGCTTTGTTGGGAAACTTCTTTGGTTCTCTTACTGTTGCACAAATAGGTCTGCCCAAGTTCGACTTCAGACTGTTGCAGGTTTGTTTTCAAAAATGCCACTTCCATTTTCTCATGAAATTGTCTGGTATCATGACATCTGGTTACTGTTTGTTAAGTTCTCTGCTATGGAATTAAGCTCCCTAATGTCTAGTATCATGGCATGGTTGAAAAACAAGGGAATGAAATTGTGTTATCAAATAGGATTCAGATTCAGAGACGTAAATAATATCTAATATTGTTCATACTTGATATTTGCATAGACTTCAGCTGACATGCCTATAGCGTAACAATATCTACTTGGAAGTTTTAAGGATGCCTTATATGGTAACATAACCCAATGTAATGCAATAATGCTGTTGCCCTATTTTTATTTAGCATATGGACATGGGAATTGACACCATCAATATTCTAATGTGGTTTGATTATTTTCAGTTTAATTTCCATATTTTGTCACAGTGGAGATTTCTATAAACTGCATTCTGGGGATGAATGTTGGGCATGTGTTACCATTTTGGTTTGTATTAGTAATCCTGTGTATTGTTTCCTGTACATTTTGTGGCATCATAGGGTGATAATTCTTTTGTCAATTTCAAGATTTATGAATGAGTTTATTTTTGTCAAAATGTTTTTAGTCAGTTCTATTTTCAGAGAAATGACAAGATTCCAGAAGTGATTTCATATTCATTAAAATGATTAATTAAATTAATCATTTCGCAAGTATAATAGGAGTTCGATTAGGTGATGTAAGTTATGCAGCACTTAGAAGTGCAAAATCTTTTGGTGGTAGCATGTTGCCAATGGGTTGTGACACACTACTTAGGCATCATATCCACTATATTTTGTAATGAAGTGAGAATAATTCTTTGAGAAAAAGAAAGGTTTGTTGCTTGTCATCTGACATCCATTATTTGCACATTCCAGAAAGTCAAGGATGAGGTGCAGAGAAGGAAGATGCAGTACAGGTCTGATAGCAGAGTTGAAGAGCTGAAGCATATGAACCCAGCAGGACACGAGGAATTCCATGCTTCCCTAACTGCAGTTAAATCAATGTCTACACATCCAATTGAAGAGTGTGAACAAGATTTTCTGGTACCGCTACCTCCTCCCAAGGCAGTGGAGCAGGTCAGCAAGGATGAGGTGCAGAGAAGGAAGATGCAGTGCAGGTCTGATAACAGAGTTGAAGAGCTGAAGTATATGAACCCATCAGGACACGAGGAATTCAATGCTTCCCTAACTGCAGTTAAATCAATGTCTACA